GAGCCACCAGCAGCTCCGGCCCCAGATGACAGGATGACGAAGCTGGAAAACATTCTAGCTTCATTCATGACTAGCACTCAGGCTGCTATCACATCACTGGAGGCAGGTCAGCGGAACCAGGGTGTCATTTTGCAGGATCTGCAGACCCAGGTGGGCATCTTGGCCCGCCAAAACACTACCAGGGCACCGGGGACTCTGCCTGCCACCACTGTTCCGAATCCTCGAGATCCTCATCAGCATCAGCAGCTGGATGCCATTTTTAACAGGAGCGGTAAAGTCATATCTGCTGATCCTGTCCCGGCTAGACAGGAGGAACCACTACCTGCTTTAGCACTTCCAGCCGACGATGCAGAAGTGCGGGTGGAGAAGGAAGCCCCTGCTCCCAAGCCACAACCAGTGGTTAAGGAGCATGTACCCCAGCTTCCCTTCCCCACTCGCCTACACAAAGACAAGCTGGAGACTGAGTTTGCCAAGTTCATGGCAATGTTGAAGCAGCTCAACATCAGCATACCGTTCATGGAGGCACTGTCGAAGATGCCCAAGTATGCCAAGTTCATGAAAGATATCTGCACCAACAAGAAGAAACTTGGGGACCTTTCGACAGTGATGCTGAGCGAGGAGTGTTCTGCCATCTTGCAGAACAAGCTGCCCGAGAAGCGAAAAGACCCAGGGAGTTTCACTATCCCTCTTACTATTGGCAGCATGCATGTAGGCAAGTCCTTGGCGGACCTAGGCGCTAGCATAAACGTCATGCCATATAAGTTGTATAAAATGCTAGACCTAGGTGAACTCAGCCCTACTAGGATGAGCATTCAATTAGCTGATCGTTCTATCGTGCATCCTAGGGGAATCATAGAGGATTTGCTTGTCAGTGTCGGTGCATTCACATATCCTGTTGATTTCGTTATTCTTGATGTGCATGAGGATGTGGATGTGCCTTTGATTCTAGGTAGGCCATTTCTTGTCACCGCCAAGGCACTAATTGATGTGCATGATGGTAAACTGATCTTGCGTGCTGGGGATGAACAGGCTACTTTTTCTGTGACTGAATTTGATCACTGTGCTATGATTGATGTCACGCCTGTGCATGCCATATCTGATCAGGTACACGAGCCTGTCGTGTATCCTCCTGCTCCTCTCATTTTGCAGGACCCTCCTATCATTCCCTCGCCGCCACTCCATCCAGCCTCGCCTCCATCCTGAATTATTTTTCCGTTAATGTTGACCGGCATTGACAATTGTTGTTTAGCAAATTGTCTACTCAGCGTTGATGTGGGTATCTAATGTGAAATTTTAAATTCAATTTTAATTTATTTCATGTCATTTAACAAAATAATTAAAATAAAAATAAAAAATCCAGTTCTCTTCATCTTTGTCTTCGTCTTCCTCCTCATCATACCACCTGTAGACTGTGAGCAAAATCCGAAAATGCCCAAGTTACAAGATAACATTTCCACAATACCCCACTTTACAAAAAAAAAAAATCCTAAACAATCAAATTTGGAGCAGTTCACTCCAGTATCAAGGGAACTAGATGTGACTCGCTTGACACTGAAGCGAACCACATCCGAAGGAGCCGGATTGAGGCCGAAATGACCTAAAAGGCCCAAAATAAGTGTGGTTCGCGGCTGACCCCAGCGAACCACTTAGATCGCTAGTCAGCCCCGCGATATACTCCTAATATAGGGTTCAGAGCTTTAAACAATCGTAACTTTTCAAGATCGACAACTTTCACTAGGAAGAAATTTCCAAAAGAAGAATTTTTTATTTCTTCTATAGAAAAATTTGAAAATACTTCTATAGAAAATACTTCTATTTAATTTCCACATTTCCACATAAATTCTGAGAATACTTCTATAGAAAAATTTGTAGTCCTTAAAAAGTTAAGCACAACAAAAAAAAATGTGATGATCGGACCTGTGGAGCACAAAGTTACGATCTTCCAAAGTTTAGCAAAATCGAAAAAACGACTAGTTTGGGGTAGCAAACGTCATTTTTTGCGATGAAGGTGAACAAAATTGCCTTTTGCTGTTTGCGGCTTAGAAGATCTCATTAAATTATCCGTAATCAAAAATAATTTTGCTACGATCGGATAACCGAGGGCAAAGGTACGATCGTCTGAAGTTTAACCAAGGTAATTAAGTGTAGTTCGCGGGTGTGTCCAGCGATGCACCCTAAGTTTGGCACAAATTGCTTGGAATAGCCGCGATTTGTTTCAGATTGGTGTAGTTCTCTTGGAACAGTCGCAAATGCACACTGGTTAACAGCAGTGCGCAGCGAACTGCTCCAAACTTGGGTATTTTTGGTGCGGTGGGGGGTAATTAAGTGGGGGATTGTAGAAATTTTTCTTGTAACTTGGGCATTTTCAGATTTCTCCCAAAATTGTCAACCACAAGGAGCCATTTTCCCAACCCACTGCGTAAATCGATCGGCTGGATCAAGGCGGCGACTGGCAAATTAGAGAAAATCTATGGTCTTTCTCCCGTCAGCCCTTTCGAATTTCGCAGAGAGAGAGAGAATTAAGGAGGGTTCATCGTTATCTTCTTCATCAGAGTGATTGAAAAAGGTGGAGGTAGGAGGGTTTGAGCATAGCCGCGGAGGAAGATGACAAAAGGAGAAAGATTTAATTTGTATTTTGATTATTTATTTTTGTTTATTATATTATATTTATTTTTGAATTAAATTAGTTTGACATGGCATTTACGTGGCAGTTTAATATTTGCCACATCAATAAAAATATATTACTTTGACCATCGTCTTGTCAACCGTTACCTCTAATAGTCAACTAAAACGTTAGGATACAAATGTCACAAAAGTATCATATTTTGATATATGATTCTTATATTGAAGAAAATAGGACATAAATGTCATTTTTTTATAGATCGGATTTTGTACTGGTATTAGTTCTTGAAATAAAAGAGATGAAAAGAAAGAGGACGTAAAATAGTTATTAAGGATGGAGAGTGGGATAATTAATAATGGGTGGGTAAGGGATAACGGTGGAATAGCTTTTGGTTAAGTTAAAGATTTTAAATATTAAAACTTATAATGTTATATGTTAATTAGTAACAAAAAAAAAGGTTTTTATTTAACTCTCTACATTAAATAAATCCATATTCCAAATTATTTTCTTCAAACGACCCCTTAATATCTTTGTTGTCTGAAACCAATCAATATTGACATTAATAATTAATCTTCTCCCAACAATTTGAGTTATTGGAGCTAATTAGTTTATGACATAGTAACATAGATAGTTGACTAAGTGATCGTGTTCGAATCTCCATGATTCCAATATTAATAGTTGATTTAAGAACCAGGTATGGTGGACTTGTCCAAACTTCAAACCCGTGTGTCGGCTTTTGTGTAAAGGGACATGAGAGTGATTAAGATATATACATAACCTTACTCCAATAACTCAAGATCGATTAGACTTTAAAAAACTTTGATTTTAATTGAATTTCTTACTTATTTGATTTTTTATGTTACATACTTAATAATTTGATTAAGCCATCTAAATCAAATCCACTGTATAACCCTTAGGTGTTACTCGAAGGTGGGGACCCGCCAGTAGCAGAGATTCTTTGCCAGGGGTAGGGGCGTTGGTGTGACCTAAAACTTAGCCAGTGGTTTGATCCGCCAACCTGTCAAGCCATCAAAACTATTCCTCTTCCTAGCCAGAATGTTGAGGATAGACTGATATAGCATGCCACTTCTGACGGGGGTTTCACTGTTAAATCGGCCTATCATTTTGCTTTCTTATTAGACAAGCAAGGGGGTCGTTGGAAATCCATAGCTAGTTGGATGGACAGGGCCAGTTGGATTCGTTTATGGGCACCAATATTCCATCCAAATTGAAAATATTTTTCTGGCAGATCTTTAACCGCATCCTGCCAACGATGGAAGCCCAAATCGAGAAGGAAATCTCGGTGCTTCTTAGGTGTCTGGTTTGTTGGGCGGAATCGGAAACAATGGAACATTTTGTTTCTTGATTGCCCAGTGACACGTGCTCTATGAGATCATTCGGGACTCGAATATCTTGGTCAAGAGCTGCCTCGCCACACTTTCCCCCTCTTACTAAAAAAGTTGATGTTATTCATACATCAACCTTCACTAATCATGGCGGTTGTTGCAGTCCTTTGGAGGATTTGGCGGTCACGGAACTAGGCGATATTTGAGGAAAAGAGTTTGGGATCCCAGCCTTAATGCGACAGTTCAACTACCAGTATCAGGATTGGGTTAGCATGCCAGTAGACCGTGTGCTCTAATCTTCCATCCCGCCAGTTCATCACGTGGGTTCAGTGGATCCAAACTCGATTATTTATAGATGGGATGGGGCAACGAAAAGTAGGTCACACTCGGTAGGTGGGATGATTATCATGAACCAAGATGGGGAAGTCCTCTTGGCTAAAGGGGTTCAGTTTCTGTTGATCGACGATCCTATGGTTGTCGAATTACTCGTTTTTCCGGGAGGCAATTCTATGGTGCCTGACTCTTGGCTTTACGAAGATAGATTTGAAGGTGATGCCAAGGTGATCATCGAGAAGATCATTTGGGCTGATACCTGGGATAGTCGAATGGGAGTTATTCTGGAGGAGTTCGTGCTGTATTTTGAGAGTCATACTGGGTTTCGTGTTGGATTTGTAGGCCGCGGAGTTATAGGGCAGCCCACTTGGTGGCTAGAAAGGCCCTTTCGTTGTATCCGATTATGAATCATTTTTTATTTTATTTTCAGACCTGGTTTAATTCGAGGATGTAATTATATATTCTCAAATCAATATATTATTATCTTTTGTAAAAAAAACACATAGCAGGAAGAGTGAGTACATCCAATTGCCACGTGGTGGTTCGCCGTTACAAGCTCTTAAATTACCCACGTGTGACCAAATGTTCCGCTAGACGATTTCGCATCTCAATTATCACCTCTCATTCTCTATCTTGTAGTAAAACAAAACAAACTACTAAAAAACAGGTGACAAGAGTAAAAAAAAACACGAAAGGCCAACCAGATCACCAACAGAACAAATGGGAAGTAAAGAGCGATCAAAGATCGGAAAGAAAAGAGAAGACAAGAGATTTCTCTCCTCCGAACCATTCCTTATTCCGATCATCAAAGGTATAATAGTGTTCATTTTTTCTTTCATTTAACAAATATCATTCACCCTTCTCTTGCATGATTTGTAAGAATGCAATATTTCTTTTATGGCAATTGTGTAATCGGTAATCCTTATGATTCAAACTGAAATGTTTCCATGTAAAAATGATATATCAACAATAGTTGCATAAGAAAAAAGTTTGTAAGCCTGTAAAAATGTTATGCTAGCGTTTATCAAAAAAGAAAAGTTATATTTCATGAATATAATGTTTGTTTCTTGGTGTGAAAAAGCATTTTGTGTCAATTTTTGTAATGGGTGTTGCATTTCATAATAGTTTATTGTTTGGGTTGGGGTAATGAAGTCGAATGTTAAATGCATGTGTTACATGATATTATTAGATGGTGGTCAGCAAAAACGGTTGCAGTGGTGACAGGGGCCAACAGAGGGATAGGGTTCGAGATAGTGAGACAACTTGCAGGGCATGGAATCACCGTAATATTAACGTCTAGGGAAGCTAGTGCAGGAATTGAAGCCGCAAGTGTGTTGGCAAGAGTTGGGCCTAAGCGTGACATTCCACCAACTCGATGTTTTGGACAAATCATCTATTGAAGAGTTTTGTGATTGGGTGAAAGAGCAATATGGTGGCATAGACATTCTGGTGTGTGTTATTAGTGATCTTGAATTGAAATTTCTTTTATCATTTTTATGCTCGATCGTTCCTTATATATTTCTTGTTTGTTGTTGGCGTATCCTTAAGGTCAACAATGCAGGTGTCAACTTCAATATTGGTTCTGAGAATTCAGTTGAATTCGCTCGGATGGTTGTTGATACAAATTATTATGCTACAAAAAATGTGACTAAGGCTATGATTCCACTTATCAGAGCGTCTGAAGCAGGTGGACGAATCGTTAACGTCAGCTCAAAACTCGGCAGAGTCAGTGGAAAAAGAAACGTAAGTCTAACCGAACTTATACGATAATACTATGATAAATTGAAGGGGGGAAAAAAAACAAATGTTAACTCTAGCTATTTATCTATTACTCTTCTCATTTGTTTTAACTCAATTGAAGACCATATGTTAGATGAGACAACTAAATGACATGTATATTGATTAACCAATCTTAAAAACATTGTTATTACTTCCTAGAGAATCGAAAACCAAGAGCTGAGAGAACAACTAAATGACATGGAAACATTGTCGGAGGAATTGATTGATGGAATGATGTGTAAGTTCTTAGAGCAAGTGGAAGATGGGAGCTGGGAATCTGGCGGGTGGCCTCACGCCAACACAGATTACTCCGTCTCGAAACTAGGGGTCAATTGCTACACTAGGGCTACTGGCGAAGGAGATGGCTGATCGGCCCGACGGCAGAGAAGATTTACGTGAATTGTTACTGCCCTGGGTGGGTTAAGACTGCGATGACAGGGTGGGCGGGTACGACATCGGCCGAGGACGGTGCAGACACTGGAGTCTGGTTGGCCCTCCTCCCCGATCAAGCTATTACTGGGAAATTCTTTGCTGAGAGACGTGAGATCGCCTTTTGATTTAACTAGTCTCATTTTTTTACTTATTATCGTTATTAAATTTTTGTGTTGCTTGTGGTATTTTTGAGTAAGACATTAGAAGGTGTGTACGACTTAGCTTTTGTGTTTTGGTTAATGACTTTCCTTTCAGGTCACGACTGAGGAAGAAGCAGTACTTTGTTGTTTTGGGAAATTTATTTTCGTCTTTTATATTTTTATAATTTTATTTTTTGGTTAATTTGATAATGATAAATAATAAAAATTAGGAAAATAATTTTAATTTGAATTTGTTTAATGATTTTTAGGCTGACAATGCAATGACATGGCGTGTTGACTAACGGTCAACACCAAACTAATAGTCAAACCATGTGTCGAGCCAATTGAGTCTATATGTTGCATAGTTGAGACCAGGATGGTAATTTCTGAAACCAAAAGCCAAATTTGATTATATGGTCATAGTTCAGGCAAAAATAAGGCATTAACTCTATTATATACTCTCAAGTTTGCGCAAAAATCATTTATAGTACTATTTTCTATTCAAATGCGGCTCAATACTCTACTAAATCGTGGATCCATCGCTGATAGGAAAACTAGTAAATTCATTTTTGCATGAAGGCAAACATTAATAGGACAGGTCCCAAAGTACATTGAGGGTTTACCTCATGAAGAGGAAGAGAAAAGACATACAAAGATGGGAAGAAATCATGAAGAAGGGTCTTCAAGTGCTGGAAATCCTACTACAAAGCTCTACTCCGCTTCTTCTTCTCCGCTTCTTCCCCAAAGCTTCTACTTCTCTCTCTAACCTCACTCTAGAACAAGAAATCTGCCAAAAAACCACTCTATTCAAGAGGGGAGTACCCTATTTATAGAGCTCAGGGTTGACGGGCAATTTCACGGCTGGATCAGGAGGAAAGAGGTCGCTAACGTTTGATATGTAATAGGATGTTTTAGACTTGAATTGGGAATGACGATGAAAGTATCTATCTATGCCTATTTGATTTTTGTTCATTCTTGCATCAATTAGTGTGGGATTGTCTGTATCCCATTTGCCCTAATTGCAACCTAGATTGTAGGGAATTTATCATTCTCCTTCTTGTGATTTATGGATGAATTGAGTTTACCTATAGTTTGTATGACTTATCTATGCTAATTATGCTTTGAAACCTTGTCTCTCTAATTATTTTCTTGACATCCTACTATTTAGGAGTGCATATTTGTAGGGATGGCAATGGGTCGGGTCGGGGATAGATAGTGCATATCCGTTACTCTACCCAAAGTAGTTCGGGTTTTACCCTACCCATACCCACATGTGAAATGGGTAGAAAATTAAAACCATGACCCATACCCACTCGGGTTTCGGGTATCCACGGTTTATCCATGGGTAATGATTTCTCTTCCATAACTCTAACCAGTATGTTAACATTCACACGTATTCTCACATTACGTAAGAGGAAAAGTATGACAATAATTCACTAGAATGAAGAAAATTAATTAAAACAACACAATTTTATGAAAATACTATATTTATATGCTAAATATAAAATATCTTAGAGAAAAATAATGATTATTTCTAGACAAAATACATATGTGTGTGAATAATCAGGCGGGTTTGGGTTGGATAGTGAGAAACTCATGCCCACCCATTATCCGCAATATTCGGGTTCGGGTTTTACCCATACCCACTAAATGTCCTTCGGATTCGGATTTTACCCTACCCGATTAGGCCGGGTTCGGGCGGATATCCATGGTTACGAATATTTTTTGCCATCCCTACATATTTGGACTGGATTTGAGCGGATGGGTAGAACCCATTTAGAGAAGATAGGTTTTATTCCGACAACGTGAAGTTAGATGAGGTGACATTGGACTAGTGGGTTCGATTGCATGACCATTCAGCCGATTCCTAGATTATCAATCTCTACACCTCGATTACCATGGATCGTCCTTCCATTTTTTGCATGCCATCTCATGCGGTTAGGGCGAGGGAGGCACCCCAAGTACCTCTTCCCTCCTATCGTTCCCTAATTCATTAATTTCCAACTGTCCACCTGCTACCGCTATACTACTTCGTCGATCTAGGGTGCATGTGGGTAAATAAAAATATTTGAGTGGTAGCCTGTGTGATTTGAACTTGGGTCACTGTTACCACAAGTAACTTATTTCCATTAGACTACAATTCATTTGTTCTTGTATTTTAAATCCAAATACAGTATTAAAAAACTATTCCTTATCCAATTCAAGATAGTCGTTGTTGGGGACATGAGAAATTAGGAAGATATACAGTTCGGTCAGGCTATGTGGAATGAAAGGCAAAACAAAGCCAATTCGAAAGGGGAGCCCTATGTTTCGGTGGATTGGAAGAGACTCTGGCATCTAAACCTACCTCCAAAAGTTAGGTTTTTCCTGTGGCGATGGGGAAGCAATATTCACCCGACAAAAGCAAATCTCAGCAAAAGGATCAAAGTAGCCTGGGACGAGTGCCCATTTTGCGGTTTGAAAGAGACATAAGAACACATTACAAGAGATTTAGATTGTGAAGGGAGAGTATGGCGCCCTAGTGAGATTAGGAACCTATTCAGACTAGGCGAGGGGCATGAACAGGGAAGAATGGTTATGTGAGTTGCTTGAGAAAGCATCTGACAAGATCTATGCAAATCATAATGACCCTATGGTATATCTGGAAAGAGCGCAACAACCACATGTTCAATAATCATCAGGAAACTGCCTATAAGATCCCCAATCTTTCTTGAGAAGGACTGCGAAATGATCATAAGGAAACTGGAGGGGGAGATGGGGAGCGACCTGGAAATTGATTTTCTGTGCGAGGAAATAAGAGGAAGGACAGAAGAAATGGAAAATGTGAAATGTGAAATGTAGGAAGGGGAACGTAGCGGGGCCCACAAGATGGCTCGGATGATGAGTCGATGGGAGGAGAGCGAGATCTGGTTCGACTGGCCTCCGGTTTTTACTATTCCTATTCTGCTTAAAGATTGTAATGATCTTATGATATAAGTAACGAATATTCAGGTGAGTTATCAAAAAAATGTCATTGGTAGAATATATTGTGGTTTAATCGTAGTTCAATCCTTATCATTTTGATCCTGTGTAGGCATGACAATAAAACCCGAACCCACGGGTACCAACCCGACCCAATCCGGTCAACGCGGGTAAAATTCATGTTGACGGGTTTTGGGTTTAAACCCGTTCACTATTCACCGGGTTGGGTTGTGTTTGGGTTTAGGTAAACCCGGCCCATGGGTACCGCCCACACCTATATAATTAATTTTCTCGACATATTTAATATTCTAAACAACTAATCTTATTTATGTTTGTGGAGACATGTCTAATTTTTTCTTTCTAGTTGTGTAGAATGAAGTTGATGTTATCAAGTGGAGAGTGGAAAACTTAATTGAAAGGAAGAAGCTTTCAATTAATCATGCTATTTATGGATAATTTGTGATTTGCTTCAATTTTCTTGAGTTTTCTAGATTGGTGTTGTACGATTTTTATAGTTAATTTGTGATTTGCTTGAATGTTCTAGAATGGTGTTTTATATATGAATAATTTGTATTGAGAGATTGATATTTGATTTTAATTTTGATGAGAACTTGTTATTGTGAATTTTTTACGATAAAAACCCGTGGGTACCCATGAACCCGCGGATACCCAGCGGGTTGGGTTGGGTTGAGTTTTTCAAACCCAGTGGGTTTTACCCCGAGTTTTTTTCACGAATAAACCCATGAATTTGAGTTTGAATTTAGCAAAACCCGACCCATTGCGATCCCTAATCCTCTATTCGACATTTCCAATTCGACCCACTAGTACGGTATGTTTTGTCGAACATTGATTTTTGGGGGAAAATCCCACATAAGTACATAACCAAACCAAAGGTAACTACAGTCTACAAAGATCGCCGGCTTAGTCTGTCACACCCTGGGGGAAAGAATAGTCTTGGCGAGTGTAATTCCTGGAAAAGAAGACGGATTACAGAGAAGAGCTGGGAAATAGGGATAAGAACAGAGAAGAAGGGGAAGAAAGTGGAGTCAGAACAGGAAGAACAGATGCAGAAGCTTGGGGAAGAAGAAGAATAGGTCGAGAGAGAGCAGAGAAGAAGAGTAGTAAAATGATTCTGTTATTTCCTATCTCTTCCATTACAACACAGACTTCCTTTTATAGGAGTCGCACAATTACAAAAAGACCCACCAACTAAACCCTTGTTACAACTAAACCCCTGTCGTTACAATCCCCACTCCTTAACAACAGCCTTGTCCTCAAGGCTGAGAATCATCTGAAAATCAAAACCAACTCAAGACATGATATAGCAAAGAAATTTATACTAAACAAAAGGAAATGAGATGCAGAATGGATTGGCATATAGGAATGCTCTTCAACCAACCAACATGCTCCATTTATCCCAGAGAGTGTCTAATAAGTTGCCAGCCATCTACAATACCACAACAACCAGCTCCAATGGCCTGCCATCTGCAATACAGACAACCACAAACACTGCCCTGACTTATGTTTCGATCTTTATAGGGCTCCCTGAAGTCAGGACACTTTCCCCTTCCGCGAGAAAATACACAAACTCCATAGTAAGTAGGGAAAACCCGATACCCATAACCCCAATAGCCATGCCTCGGTTTTCCCTTGCATCCCACTGATTCAGATGTAAGCTCATACCCCTTATATGAGAAGCATGCCTCCACACTGGCAGCCTTCAGGAAACTGCAGATTCCCCACTTACCCGGCTTAATTGCGTTCTCCAATGTCCAAACCAGCAACATCTGTGAATTGCGTGAGGTGATCGTGCTTGTTCTGAAATAGTACAGCAGCAGCCACAATTCCCTTGGTATAATAGCTGCTGCAGTAAACCCAAGCTGATTCAAGTCAGTAGCATCCATTGTCAGAACAACCTTATCCACCCCATTAGAACTCCCAAACCCGGAAGAAACAGACTCCAAACTATAATCATCAACCTGAACTAATCGTGGTTGCTGAAAAAATGCCCGATTCTTCACCACCATAAGTGGAACATTACTCACGACTGTATTCTCCACCATGGTGCAAGTCAAACCCAAGCTAGGAATTTTCACAATGCAATCGTTTCCTGAAAGCATTACATTGGATTGATCAAGTGGTTGCCCATATAGGAACTCTGCTCTATGCTTCATGCCTTTGTGAGTCAGCCTGTCAAGGAAAGGAATTACAGTCCAACACAGCTCCTTAAATGGCTCTTTGAAATCAAAGCCAGTACCTCTCCCTTGAGGCTGAACCAAGACAAAACAGCCATCCAACCTGCCATCCTCATATACATATCCAGCCACTTCCATATGCTTGTTTGAAACACCTTGCAACTCCGAATAAAACAGCCCAGGTTCTTTTACAGTTGAGCCAGGTGTCACAATAGGAATATATTCTTTTTCAGCAAGTATACCACCATTCCCATCAACCCTGTTAGGAGAAAGAAAGGATTCAACAGTCACAGCCCTTGTATCCCCATCCATTTCTAAGTAATCACCAAGATGAGATTGCTTCTTCCTTTTGCAAGTCTCGATGGCAACTTCCTCCAACCGAGCTTGCTGATAAGCTTCAGCTAATGTTTGGGGCTGCATCATGGACATGGCTAGCCGCAACTCCTGCTCCAATCCATTGATAAAGCTGCTAATGAAAAAAATCTCGTCCAAGGCTGGGTTGAATTGCGACATGAGGGACCTCAACTCCTCAAACTTCTCTTGATACTCAGTCAAAGAGCCTCGCTGCCTAAGTTTATTGAATGCAGCTACCACACCCCCATAAGTACGATTACCAAATCTCTGACACACAGCAATCACAAAATCCTCCCACAGTAATCACGTTTGCCATAATTCCAACCTTTAAACCAGACAGCAGCCCGTTGCTCAAAACCGAGCACAGCCAAATTTACCTTCTGGTCATTAGGGATTGCATAGGTCTCAAACAATTTGTCGCATTTGCTAATCCATTCTCGAGGAGATTCACCATCGAAAGAGGGAAATTCTAATCGGGGAAGAAAATGAGCATTACCTCGGGCTGGAGCAGCTTGAAAGGGCTCCCGCTCAGCGACTCGATGATTCTGTGGAAGAGGCAAAATGCCCTCAGCGCCAATCTGATCCTCCAGCGGCGCAACCGCGCCGACAGTTGCCTCCACCGGCCCAAGAGGAAGAATTCCGTGAAGCATATCGCGAATCTCCTGAGTGAATCGATCAAAGCGATTATCCAATCAAGTTAGGAAACTAGTCCAGCGTTCGTCGATTGTACCTCGAGTCGCCGCCATTGTGCCAAGACAGGGCTCTGATACCACCTTGTCACACCCTGGGGGAAAGAATAGTCTTGGCGAGTGTAATTCCTGGAAAAGAAGACGGATTACAGAGAAGAGCTGGGAAATAGGGATAAGAATAGAGAAGAAGGGGAAGAAAGTGGAGTCAGAACAGGAAGAACAGATGCAAAAGCTTGGGGAAGAAGAAGAATAGGTCGAGAGAGAGCAGAGAAGAAGAGTAGTAAAATGATTCTGTTATTTCCTATCTCTTTCATTACAACACAGACTTCCTTTATAGGAGTCGCACAATTACAAAAACCCACCAACTAAACCCTTGTTACAACTAAACCCCTGTCGTTACACAGTCTTAGGCTTCCGGCGGCCCTTCTCTCTTCGCCTTTCGTTTGTCGCGTCTCCCTAAACGCCGCGGCGGCAACTAATCGGGCCTCGTTTCAGCCGTTCTGTCTCATCATTCATCAGCCATCGCCTCTCCCGTCTGCCGATTTCTGCTCCTGCGCTGCCGGCCCTGGCTAGCAAGTAGATGGGGAACAAAGAGCGCGCTAAAGAAAGACGTGAGAAGAGACGCCAAGAGATTTCTCTTCTCCGTACTATCCCGTACTCTGATCACCAAAGGTACCGTTTCTATCCTC